TCAGGTGGGGGAGGACGGAGTGCGGTAGATGCGTCGCAAGCCCAAATTCACTAAAAACTAAATCACGCGCAAGGCAGGGGTGTCTGCTTCACCTTAGTGTGGAGCACACGGTGGGCATCGTCGGCAACGATGGTCGAACTGCCATATTGATCGCATGAGTCGGCGCCCATGCAAAGGGAAACGGCAACATCTCTCGGCACAGTTGAAAAAAGGCAACCTAAGAACATAACGAGCCCTATTCTCACACACATTGTTGATTCTGAGCATCGTGCGAACCCCAACGAAGCTTTCTGTTCGATTGACAAGGTCCCACCGAACTACCCTAGACCACTGTGTCAGCGTCTACTAGCAAAGGTTATGGAAGCCGGTCCTGCGCGAGGAGAAGGACCTGGTGCAGGCTTCGCGCCTACCGTGGCCCGAGTCCGGTTAGCTGCATGCGCTTCTCGGCGCCCCCCCCCCTTCCCCTTTGCCATTGCCTCCTAACCCGCCGTGTCTTATAACCGCCCCATCCATTCCCAAAATCCAGCTGTACGAAAAGACGAATTTTAACGAATTTCTCTTACCATTCACATGTTTTACTTTTAATCCGTCCCCACATAAATGTACTTGTTTGAGGAGGATTTATTGAGAGCACACGTATGCTCGCCGACTGATCTAAATTCTCCCATGGGTACTTTGGAGACTTCAAATTCGTCGCCTGCTCCTACTCGTCCGCAATGCAGACCAGAACTTCCAAAATGTAGCACTGAGTATTCACTGGGTTACCATCGCGAGTGGCCGTACCTATGACCCTTCGCCAACGAGCCCCTGTGCAACGGACCACAATCGACATCTGACCCTCGGAATTGACCGAAAGCAAAAAGTCTGGTATCACCGATCATGACTGCCTACTTTTGCTACACCTATTTGCCTATGCAGTAGTTCGCATACAACGCCGAGCGACTTCTTAAATTGTTGCAGGCATGCACCACACCCAGCGCTATTAGACGCGTTACTAGGGCACGGTCAACTTCTCTCTCTCTCCAATACACCCTTGCAGAGCCAAATCGATCTCTGGTTGCCCTTTTGAGGAATTTGCTGCCTGCGGAAACCCGCCGCAGTATAAGTGATTGCGATCTCCCGGTCGGTAATCTTTCCAGGGGACTTCCTGAAGACAGAGGCCTCGTTCCTCTCCGATCTGAGGTCCCTCTTACTATTACACTCAAACACAACCCCGTGACTTTGAAGTAATCTGCTATCGTGTCGCGGTGCGTTGGGCGGTCGACAGAGTTGGCTGATGAACTCTCCAGTCCATCGACTTCTCTTCCTATCCGCATTTGGAATAACATCCAGCGGAGCTGGCCAGCTATCGTGGCGACGAGAAAGGCAACGGCGCTTAAATGGAGAAAGCCTCATTTACCACCGGTGACAGCACTACTCTTTGTGACCTCTTAACCCCCATACGTTACATCGTAGTATTTGTTCACCTAGCCGCACAACCACTCCCATCCCAGGGTAAGTCGGTTGTTGATTTGCTCGTTTGGGCAGGAGTGGGTCAGAGCCCCGGCGTGGACGGAGCTAAAATGTCAGAGAGGTAGGCCTCATTGCCAGGCGTTCGCTTCCGCGACTTCCATCTTTCTGATGCGAAACCCCTCAGCACACGTAGAGGCGGTAGTCGTGATCAAAGACTGCACCGGTACTTGACGACATTCTTCGATGTCTTCACTACTGTAAGAACACATCGAGGCATACCACACAAGTCCGCCCTTATGGAATGACGAATACGTCACTTGAATCTCGAACGACCTGTTGCTCGGCTGCCAGAGACCTGATTGTGATGTTTTATTAACAATTATACTCCGTTCGACCCTGAATGCCGACCTCTACTGCCCCACCGCAGAACAGATACCGGATGACCAGCGACTACGACTCGTATGCTGTGGCTGGGTGCGCAGGTCACTGAGAGCGCACCACTGCGGTTCTGTTGACGTCGCTGAAGATGTGAAGGCACTTATTATCCGGCACTATGATGGGGCAGTGACAAATACGAACGTCATTAATCTGAACTTTCCGGGGTGGACTTAAAATGCAGTCCATAAAATCCGGAGAAAATTGCGCCTTCGACTCAAACATCCCTATTGGAGACTTAACTCAGCTGAAAAAAATATATATGAACGAACCTGCGTCCCACCACCGCTTCCCCCGTGAAGACTTTCCGCTTGCGCTCTGACCTTATGCGTCGTGCAAAATCAAACTTCAGTCGGGCGTTTTTGAGTTGCCTCAGTAAGTGCTTATTCATGCGGAGGCCTACATTGCCGATAAAGGATCTCCTTCCTGCTAAAATGACCCTATTGGAAGCACGGAGCACGTTATATGGGAAGCCGAAGGAAAGTTCGCCTCTTTGGAGTGTAGCCACCCGCTATCACGGCCGCCGGCACCGTCGTTTACTCACATCGTCGTTTTCGGTGCTCCACGAACGGTTATAGCTGACCGGAGTGCACAGTCCGAATAGGCTGTCACTCCGGCCCCTTTCAGCTTTCTTGACTCGGACGACAGTCAGCAGCATGGACGTGCGTTTTCACCGCTGGTATGACAAGAGCTTGGCTGGTTGCACTCAGGTGTCCATTGGGTGTGACCGCGTGCGCAATCCGCTGGAATTACAACATGAAGGACCATTCCCGGGTACTATCACGCAACACCAAGTGCTGTCGGATCCTTCGCGGCAACAAGGACGTGGTCAGCGTTGACCGGGTCGGGGCTGTTGTTCCAGAGGGGCCGCCAGACGTGCCTGTAGGACAATGCGCTGACAGTCTTCCCCTATCCTCAGCCCCTCCATTCCATCTACTACCTGTCCTAACATGCCCGATGCCTCTAAGTGTGAGCTCATCATCCTCTACCGCTGCACGCACTCAATCCCTCCCTGTTTATGTCACACGCAGTGGACGTCGTGTTCACCTCCCCAACTGACCTGTTGCTCGTGTTTAGACATCATCAATTTCCTCACCGTCGCTATATGCTGCCTCCGGACTGAGCAATGGATACTGCAGCTGTCCCCTCTTACGGCCGTCAGCGCGCCGTTTATCTGTGCCGCTTTCTGGTTCGCCTAGCACGTCTTACAAAAACTGTGTGCGTCGGTGACTCGACTTTCGGCATGCAACACTGACCAGCATCTCTTTCTTTACCGGATGGCCACGGTCGGATGGGCCTAAGGCGCGCTCATTTCGGCTGCCACTTGGCTAAATGGAACGCTTGTTCCAACTGCTTGCTGAGCTGCAAGTACACTCACTCACCCCAGTAAAGCTTATCCAGCTGTCCTCCCTACCTTCTGATTTGTCGACCGTTGGTACCTCGAGAGGAGTTCATCTACCTCATCCGTCTTCATTAGCTAACAGAATGCCCTAAGGGAATGCATCCTTGAGTCTTGTGCAAATGAAGCCTGCCCGCAACAAATTGCTAGCACTGTATTTCTTGATACATCAGACGCCAATCTGACCCTTATACTATATAGTGGCGCTGAAGTACTTTGTGCCCATCCATAACGTCAGACGGAAGGCGTACCGGACGAGACCAATCTTAATCAACCTCAGTCTTACAGATACAATGGATACTAATCACGAAGGTGCTGCAGGTAAGCGCGAGGCAGTTAAGATTTCAAACAACGGAGGCGGCATAAGGACGGGACAAATAGGGGCTGAAGGCTGAGTATGACACTCGGGACTGACCACTGTCCGCTCGAGCCGGTTGTGAAACCGGTCGTCAGAGAAGTGATTATCGACCCCGGTCACTACCTTACCACCTCTAACCGTCTTCCGGTTGGATGCAAGTGTGGCAAACAATTACCAACTGCACGTGCAAGTACGATAGAATGAGAAAAGTAGTTACTTGGCCGATCGACCCTGTACAGGACAGGAAAGAAGCACTCCACTGACGGCTCTCAGGCCGCCTTCGGTTACAGGATGTGGGACGCTCCTTAGGGAAGACTGGCGCCTAGAAAAGACACATGATCCGAATCATTTGCAGTCGGTGTCACCGGGACGTTTAATGTTCTAGCCGAATGTCGACAAGCCCACGGCTAATACCAGCAGAGAGCCTATTAATCTACGCCAATCTGCGGCTCATGTATCTGTCTACATACCGAGTCGATATCCAAGGCACGCAGTTGCAGGAAAACATCGACCTAGAAGGATGGGCAAGTTTTCTACAAAGGATTGGGCAAACGGGGTGCCAATGAGCTATAGCCAAGCAGCACATACCATCAACTGGCAATTCTTTCCAGGACCGACTGCTTACACCGTAGTTGAAACTTGTAATTACAAATAAATCTGTTCCGTTCAAAGACACCAAGCATTAGCAGTAGCACTAGCACAGGTTCACAAAAAATCAGATACGGCAACCCGGACGATAGCCTTCGTTGCTCTAGACCGAAGCTTAGACCGTAGTTTGGCCGGAACAGGTTCCCAGAAACCCGAGCCGCACAACATATGTGGGCTTGTAGCGTGCGACGTCAAAAATAGTGAAATACTTGGGTCTGCAGTCACAGGAGAGTGGACGTGCCCGGATGGACGTTCCACTAAACACCGAACAATGATCCATAACGTGAACAGCGACTAAGCCCTAGGCTGAACATGTGCTCACTAAACGGTTTGCATCTGTCACAAGGCGCCCAGGATTTTCATTTCGGTTGAGAAAACAAATAACCGAATAAAGGGTTCATGCATGCGTGAGCAGCACCACACCTGCCTACTATGTCAAAAAGTGGAAAGACCGCCACCGAAACGCGAGCAGGCTACTAATATACAGCCATGTAGCACTGATGACGACCGGATCGAAAGAACGGAACCGGAAAATCGGGAAATAAACTAGTAAAACTCGAGTGTCGTCAGTAAGGATGGCCAGTATCTGTACGTTCGGACATAACCAGTAAATAAGCCTATCGGCAAGTCATTCCCGGCTAATTCTTACTGTGCATTAAAGGAAGTAGCCGAACTCCCTCAGCTCAAATATATTTGTACAAATTGAAATTACTGGCCAGCCTTCGCCATTCTAGCCTTGTAGCGTTTGCCGTAAAGGCGCTTGTTGGCACGGTGTTGGCGTATTGCATGGAAGGCAGAGTACTTCTTCTCCGATTCAGTAATCTTGTGGGCTTCATCCCGTTTGGTCTTCTGGACAATTGGCATTACCATCCTGCGCTGCGTCACCTTAGTGATATCGCCCTGGTGAACAGGAACCGGGAGGATCTTTGCCTTATTGAACAGAATGAGCTTGGACATGTACTTCCGGAGACGAGCGACATTCCTCTGGAGACCTTCGACAGAGTTGTTCCGGCGTCGGTGGTCAACTGAAATACCAACGCTGCGCGCAATTTTGCGGCTAATTCCAGCAGCTCTGAGCTCCTCCAGGCTAAAGCCTCGTCCAGCTCTGACTTTCATGTTGTAGCGCTGGGTTGGACAGTTAACGATGGGCCGAAGAGGACCCGATGCTGGTTTTGGAGCGATACGCTTAGCCTTGGCCTTGCGGGCCTCCTGGCGACGGTGTTTGCGAGCCGGCTGGTTAAACCATGTGCGAACCATGAACTGCCATTTCTTGCGAAGGTGGTTCTTATGTATCAAATCATTGCCGTGCGCCATGGTAACTTACTTCAGATGAGCTGCAACAAAGGCGAAAAACAGCACATAGAGCAGGTATGTAACATTACAGACTGGGCAAAAGTAAACGGCAACCACAAATATGTAAGTAGGTGGCGCTGTGACAGGTTTTCGATGACCATGCTGAGGAGGGGCAAATGAAGTGGAGAGTTGGGATCATAACGCGGGCCGCAAGACACACGTGCGACCCGCAAACAACGTTCTGACAGCTATGGTTAGTTCTAGTGAAGCGTCCTTTAGTAGCTATTTTAATCAACAATTAGCAGGTGCGACAGAGTGCACTAAACTATTACTGTAAGGGAGTCGGTGGGGAGGAAAACCGTACGCAAACGCTAGCATAGACTAAATATCCAAAGAAGCAACAGACCCGATGGGCAAGTCGCGGACAGGAGAAAAAGGACCTAGCAATCTCAATAAGGAGGAGAACTTGCAAAAACTACTGGAATAAGAAGACAAACCTAGAACTGCCAACAGAAAAGTAGGCCACAGAAGGCAATACCTGCAAACGTGCCCAGGTGCACACTCAAATTACCTCGCAAAGACTCCAAGTGCTCACTTAAACAAACTCGGGGAACAGATCAGATGACTAAGGGGGAATTGGGTGCAAAACTTGGGGAATCAAATTTACAGAAAAAAAACGTAGGGCCGACTAAATAGAACGAGAGAACGTTAGAAAAGTCAAACAGGTGCGTAACACGAGTAATATACATTTCAAGGGAAAAATTAATTTTTCAAAGTCCAGGCTAACTGTGAGGCATGTATCGGTTTGAGGTCTTCCTCTAGCATCTGATCACCTTTGAAGAGATTAAGGGCCTTTCCATACTAAAGCAATCCGATCCGTTCAGAAAGCGGACTGTTTGCAACAAGTTCTAGAACACTTGTGAATAACTTAAGAGAAGCATATTTAGGTTAGGTAGGCGGCTTGTAGACATCACATTTCAGCGACTACGTTTTAAATACGAGTCTCACATTTTCGAAATTCGAGAAAGTCAAGCACTTCAGATTTCGTTCCACGGGCCGATCTTACAACCTGCTGTTTTAAAGAGTTGGATTTGAGCCGGCAATGTCCTTACCCTCATAAATTGACAGCGTAATTACAAGAGCGAGGTCATTTCCCGGTCGGGCCACCTCCTCATCACCAACTTGACGAGCTTCTTTAAATCTACAGATGACCGAGTCGTTCTGCTATCGATTTTCTGCTCCACTTAAAAAGTATGCTAATCTTAACACGATATATCGGAATGTTATACTCTGTTTCGGGTATTTTTAAATCGATATTATGATACAGCAATAATTTACAATGGGCAAGCATTTTGCTTATCGAATTCTGGATGATGCTGTCAATGTCCTTCATTTGAAACTTATCTCTGCGAAGTCCTCCTGCCTCATGCGCCGTAGCTTTTGTCATATCGCTTGCCTTGAATCAAGATGTCAAGATCATCGTAGGCGATTTTGATTTGTCAGAAAGTGACTGGCATAAACACACTTCCTCTCCTAAATTCCAGAAGCTTCTAGACACCATGCACCTTCTAAACTTGTCTCAATTAATCCGCTCTTCGACCAGAAACAAACGTTTATTAGATTTAATTTTTACTAATGACATCTTCCTCTGTTTATGGATTCCCATCGTGACATTTTTGTAAGTGATCATGCATTAATACATTGCCGTTTTCCAGTTGCCATGTGCGAAAAGCCAACAGTAAAACACAGCTTTTTGTCCATGCAAATGCTAAAAAGGAATTTGTTAATACTTTTGCAAGCCCTCTTGATTGGCATAATATTTTTTTTTTAAATGATCTTAACTTTTTCAACAATTACAGTAGGTAACAGAAGGTCTTCTCAACCTATTTCCGTGGAAGAAGTTTAAATGGCGTTCCACTTCCCCCGCTGTCCCTCATTTTCCTAAAAACAGACTTAAAAAACTGCGGAAGCAGCTTAGAGATCCTTCCGTAATTTCATTATCAGTTCATCTAAGAATCTTTGAAATATTTGAATTAGCTTCGAAAATGAGGCTCGCGCGAAATAGGCGTAGAGAATCTCTAGCTATTATTGGCGTAAATGCCTCTTAATCAATCCCTCAGGTCTTTCGTCGGAGATTAGCAGCTAAGTCCCACCAGTTCACTCCGCATTTGTTTATTGCCAAAGATACCTTCATTACAGAGGAGTTAGGCAAAACAGGAATGTTAAATTCACTCTTTAATTTAATTTATTAAATGCCAGTTTACAGGCATTGTCAAGGGAAGCGATTAAACACAAATCCGACCAGCAGTGAAAAAAAACTCCTGAAGAATAAAAATATAGTTGATGGTGGTTTTTATGTTTTGGAGGGTTCAGGAGAAAAATAAAACTGCTGGCGGTATATTTTCGACCGTCGAGAAGGGGGGAGGGTGTTGCACGGTATCGGAGATTATTGGTCGTCAATTCCTTTCGTGAAATTGGGGATAGTCAAAGCAGAGGCCTTGAGGAACAGCTGGTGATACCGGCCATAGTGTTCAGAGACCACAAACGCCATCGCTATGGTAGAGTCGATCAGTGGATTCAGAAACCAAAATTTGAGGAAGCATTTCTGAATGCAAAAATCGAGAAATAGTTCTCTTAAATAAAGGATAATTTTGCAGAGTTTTTACACTCCTCGGTAGTTTATTCCAAACAGCAATTGCATTTACAGAAAGGAACCGACGATATTTAACAGTACGTGCCAGAGGCAGAAATAAGAAGACCTCACGGTGACTGTTACGTCGTGGGTGGATATGATGTCTTAAAGAAGTGAGTGGGTTAAATGTGTGATTATATAAGAGTTTAAATAGCAAAAATAGTCCCTATTGTAATTTACGAAATCATAAGGGATCAAAGCCAGTAAGCCGGCTAAACTTCTCTTTGTAAAAAAGAGTTGAACGGATTCTATTTTCTTCCGCTCGGTAGCACGCATGACGCTAAATGAAAACGAACAGTATTCCAGGCCAGGTCTAACGTACATGTTGTAAAGGCGCATTTTAATTTCCTTAGTTTTAAAGTTTCGGAGGATAAACCCGGTCGTTCTACGTGCTTTGGAGACTATCAAGGCACAGTGCTCCAAGAGATTGAGACTCTTGGATTATGATACGCCCAGATACTTAATAACCCCATGCACATTTATGGCGT